GAGCGCTGAGCGCGGCCGCGGGCTGTGGGCGGCCAGCGGGTACCTGGGGAAGCCGGAGCGCACGTGCAGCCCGTCTACGTTCTGGCTGACCAGGAAGTGCAGGAGGCCCACGCGCTCCAGCTGCACCAGCGCCATGTGCGTCTGCGTGGGCCGCGCGCTCTCGAAGGTGGTGTCGAACTTGGGCGCCAGGCCCCGCTCCTCCATTGTCCAGACCCCGTGCGGGCCCCTGAAGGCGGGGAGAGACACAGGGAGAGGGTTTGAGGGGAACACCGAGAGACAGGGAGACAGAGAAAGGCAGAGGCGGAGGGACAAGGAGGTAATTGGAGAAACAGGCAGACGGCAACAGGGAGAGAGTTTGGGGGAACAGAAAGAGAGGGTGGAAGAGACAGAGAGAGGGAGAAGGCAGAGAGAAAGCGAGAGATTGTGGGAGGCTGTGCACCAGCGAGTCTGCCGAGGTTTCTCAGAGAGCAAACAATTACCATGATTGGTTCCCTTCCAAAAACCTGACCTTCGAAACCTTGCTCTGATTGGCCACTAGAATCCCTCAAATTTGCATATCCTGCACCTCATGATTGGTCCAAAAGCAACCAATCACGGCCCACTACTGTCGTCTCCGTGCTGTAACACTACGCTGCTTGCCCTGGCTCTCACTCCTTCACTCAAGAAACCCGTTTGGCTGTCCCCCCGGGTCGGGACAAGAGATGAAGCTAGAGAGACAGAGCACGCGAGGAAGGAGCCCTGACTGTACCAGGCCAGCTGTCCCGCCCACCGAGCTCGGCCTTGCTTGGGTGGAGCCTGTGATTGTGGGGGCGAGATGGGTGCTTCCAGACCCTTTGGCCCTGGCAGTGTCAGGCCAGGGGAAGAGACAGGGACCTGGGGCTGGGCAAGGTGGGAAGGCTTCCTGGAGGAGTCTGAGCTGTCTCTGGAAGATGGAGAGGGAAGGGTCAGGCAGTTCTGACTGGGGGGGCGGGCAGTACCCTGGGAGTTTGGGGAGATGCAGGGGAAGCGGCAGGGTGTGACATTGGAGAGGAGGGAGGGCTGGGTCGGTGGGGGCTTCAGTAATCCACTGTGCGGCAGTGGGGAGCCACAGCAGGTTATAGGGGGGACTCGCGCCTTAGTACTCTAACGCCCCTCTATGAACAAAGGAGCCGCAACTTTGCTCCAGCGGTCGGGCTGAAAGTCCAGGGTCAGGTGGGGTGCAGCAGGAGCCCCAACGGACCCACGTGGGAGCGGTCCTGGGTCTGTACCCAGCCCTCCCTGCACGCGCGTCCCTGGGACCCGAGCCTGCGGAGCCTGGGGGAGCACTGTGGGTCAACCCTGCTGGGGTGCCTCTCTTCCATGCAGGAGAGTAATAACCTTGAGGAAGAGTAAAGGCGACAGAAACGCCGCAGGCTGCTCCCGGGGAGGCTGCACCCTCAGCCCAGGGGCCATTGCAGCCACTGGACAGCCCTGCTTCCCCGCCAGCCTCTTGTTCCG